CGCGGGATGGGCCCAGGCGTCCGGGGCAGCCGGGGGGCTGCGGCGGCCGCTTCCTCTTTATAGCGCCGGTGGTGACGAGTTAATCGCTAACGAGGGGGGGCCGCCAGCTCCCGCGGGCCTGGGGAGGCTGCAGGGCCTGGGGAGGGGGGCCCGGACGCCTGGGCCCCTCCCTGGCACTGGGGGGAGGGTGTTTGGGGAGGGGCACCCGGATGCCTGGGTCCTTCCTCATTTCTGGGAAGGAGCCTGGCGGGGGGCCAGGGTGTTTCGACACGGTGGTGGGGCTGGCACGGAGCACGGGAATGGGGCTGGCACCGGGGGACACGGGGGCATTGGGGACCCACCTGGAGGCAGGGACGTGGGGACATGGGGACCTTGGGACGGGGGACCCACTGGGGACGCAGAGCATGGGCACATGGGGACCCTCCTGGCACTGGGGACACGGCAACATGGGGTCATGGGGACCCACTGCCACTGGGAACATGGGGACCCTGGGACATGGGGACCCACTGGGGACGCAGAGCATGGGCACATGGGGACCCACCTGGCACTGGGGACACGGCAACATGGGGTCATGGGGACCCACTGCCACTGGGAACATGGGGACATGGGGACCCTGGGACATGGGGACCCACTGGGGATGCAGAGCATGGGCACATGGGGACCCTCCTGGCACTGGGGACACAAGGACATGGGGCACTGGGACACGGAGATCCACCAGGGACACAGAACGTGGGGACATGGGAGCCCACCTGACACCAGGGACACAGGAACATGGGCACATGGGGATCCACCTGGCACTGGGGACACAAGGACATGGGGCACTGGGACATGGAGATCCACCAGGGACACAGGAACATGGGGACATGGGGACCCACCTGGCACTGGGAGACGTGAGAACATGGGGACATTGGGACACAGGAACCCACTGGGGACACGGAACATGGGGAAATGGGAACCCACCTGGCACCAAGAACACACGGAACCGAGCTGGCACCGGGGACAAGGGATGCATCTGGCACCAGGGACATGGGGACACAGGAACCCACCTTGCATCAAGAGCATGGGGACATGGGGAGCCACCTGGGGACATGGGGACACAAGGACACAGGAATGTGGTGGCCTGGTGACCACATTAAATGGGGACATGGGAATGAGGGGACACACGCCTGGCGCTGGGGACATCATGGAGACGCGGGGACAGGGGGCTGGCGCCGGAGACCTGGGGACATGGGGACGTGGGGACACAGGGACGTGGGGACACAGCAGAGCAGGGCGGCCCCACGGCCACTGACCCTTCCCAGCAGCCTCCGGGAGGGACCCAGGCGTCCGGGATCCCCCCGCAGGGGAGCCCCAGTGTCCAGGAGGGGCCCAGGAGTCCGGGAAAGGGGCCCAGGCATCCGGGATCCCCCCAGTGACACCCCAGCACCTGGGGAAGGTGCCTGCAAAAGGGGCCCAG